ATCCAGCGGCCTGCATTCGAACCCGGCATACTTACAAATGGGCTTTTTTTCAAAAACACCGACACCCTGAGGGTTTATATGACCTCTGCTGTTGCGAACCCTGGTGAAAAAAAAAAAAAAAAAAACACATGTCTATATTGAACTACCTAATTGAAATAGATGTATATGTATAACCCACAACTACAGACATTTTGATACCGGTGGATTCTTCTCACCTATGGACCCAAGAAGTTTCTGGTTTAAATTGGCTCATTGACCGTACGTTAAAACTCCCATTAACACCTGCTAATTGTAAAAAAATATTAAAAACTATTAAAACCTTAACAACAAAAAAATTGATATCAAGAAATATTTATTGATAGGTTGCTAGTTAAAAGAATAAAAAATTAACTTTAAAAGATGCAGCAATAGGACTCACCCATCCCACCAAAAAATTAATCATCAGGTTTCCGTTGTTTTCTATACATTGGTGAACTATCAGAAAAAGTAGGTAAAATTCTTAAACTACAAGGTTTTAGAATAGCTTTTAGATGTATGTGTTCATTTAGAAACATCCTCTCAAAACCAAAAGACAAGTTGGCAAAGACCGGAGTTTATTGATTGAAACAAAAAATGTGAAGAAAAAAAGCCGTGGTGCAATTAAAACGAAAGTTAAAGAACAATTGCCTAAATCGAATAAATTTTCAAAATTTATGGACCATCTAAAAGAAACAAAACACGATTTCAATTTGAATTAAAATACAACAGTTTTAAATAGTTTCAACAAAGGGAAGAAACTCGATTGGTTTGAGAAATTTGAAATTAAAAAATGTCGAACTTGGAAATAAATACATTATTAATATAAAGGATTTTCATTTATATCCTACTTTATATTTGTATTTACATTACACGTGCCCAATAATCAAATTAATTAATTTAATTTTGATTAATTTTATCATTAATTTACTGATCTATTATTAATGTATCATTTTAATTTAACTTTTTTAATTTAATAATTTTAAAAAAATTTCTCACTAACTTGAAGGAGTTGCTAGTGTCATCGAAGAGCACTTTTCAGCTTTCTTAAATTTATTGGAATTTTGTAACGAGATTTTGGCCTTTTACCAAATTCTTATATATTTGAATGTTTGTCTGCTAGTGTTTGAATGAGTGTTCTGCATGCAAGATTTCTCTCTTTTTTCAGGAATGCCGAGAAATGAAATCAAAGAATATACAAATCGCGGGGTAATAAACTGCAATTTCCAAAATCGCTATATAGGAAATATAGCTACCTCAAAAAATGAAGTTTAAAGAAAAACAAGTGTTATAACGTTTTTGTTTTATTATCATATTTAAGTCGCATTTGTGTATTTATAGAATTCGAATGGAAGAATAAAAATACGATCCTATACTCATGCTGAGACTGTTGTCTGCTCCATTATTATCATTATTAAATTCATTACATTTCGTAGTCCGATTATTATTATAATGGGCCAAACAAGCATATGGGATATGCTTAAGGTAAGGAACAAATATTCAAAACTCTTATTAAAGAAGAGGACTAAATTTTATAATTTAAAATGGCATTTTTGCATAAATTTGGCCTTCCAAATTAAGTATTTTAAGAGAACAAATTTAAGCTTTGGATGGCAATAGGATAGAGTGAATGTTTTGAGTCAGAATTTTATAGCCTCAGAAGGGATTTAGCTAATCTAAGATAGAAGAACTAACTTTTCCAATTATTTTTATCAGCTGAAATATATATAATTATTAATTGAGTAGATAAGATAGAAGGTTTAAATATTAAGACGAAAAATGACCTTAACCGTTAAAACGCCCTTAAAAATTAATAATAATAATAATAATAGATTATTTTCTTAAGGTATTTATTAATATAATATTTAATTATGTTATAATTCCCGCTTTTCGCACGTTCAAAATTGAACGGCAATAATAACCAGCTTCTCGAGTCGAGCAATCGAGAGACGTGGTTGTAAACTGTTTCCATTTGATGATGAGTTAAAAGCTTGAAATACGAATCACTGAAAACAACTAACTCTCAGTAGGAACTTTTCAAAAAGTTTGACGTATAGAATCATGAGTAATGAGGGGGGGGTAAAAAAGCTGAACTTTTGTCTTTATTGTTTGATGCCGTTACGAAAAAAAAATGTGTTAGTAATTGAATAGGAGGAACGGACAGTGTGTGCGAGAGAGAGAGAGAGTGAGTGAGTGGGAAAGAGCAAGAAGGAATGCGAGACAGCCATTGGATTTTGATGTTGGTATGCTAAAACGTTAACGTCAGAAGGCATTACTAATTGTTGAACACGAGATTTGTGATCAAATAGTCAATGTCAAGGATTGGATTCGAACCCACGGATTCAGAACTGTACTCTGAAGTTCTAACACCAGAGCCACCGTGACATCCCTCCCTGAGATGAGTTTTTATCTCAACATTTCTATTTGTCTAATTACCTTTTAATTGTCCATTATACACCCTGACATATAGCAACCATGTCAATTAGACGTGATCTCATGTTAAAAAATTAGTGATTACAGAATGGAACTGACGCTAATAAATTAGCAATACAAAACAATGAAAAGAAATTAAATTCCAAAACGAGGAAAAAGAAGAAGAAAGAAGAGGAGGGAAAAAAGAGATGAAAGAAAATAATTGAGAGAGTGTGGGGGACGAGGTATATGAAAACAACTAACCCTCAGAGCTACAAAAGAGCGAAAGATCTGGAGAGAAATAGTGAGGTCGTCCCCCCTCCTTATGCGCCTGCGTGTAGGCGTGGGTGTTGCATATATGCTCGCACGCACACGCATAAAATAGAAAGGAGAAAAAAAAAAGGTAAAAAAGAAGGGGGTAATGGAAAAACAAAACGAAGAAACACTAACCCCGCATTTAAATATTCTAGCGTGTCGGCTATGACCTTTGCCGTTCGCCGACCCAAAAAAAAAATAAATAAATAAATTAGCAAGATTTGATTAAGTGTCATGAACCTTTGAACCAATAAATCAGTAATCAATAAGTGCCAGAGAGAGTGTGTGAGTTAGAGAGAGAGAGAGAGAGAGAGAGAGAGAGAGAGAGAGAGAGAGAGAGAGAGAGAGAGAGAGAGAGAGAGAAATTTTATTTATGCAACATCACTTTCCAGGACAATTCGTACATCTAAAGAGAAGTACAATCGGAGAGTTCAATCACTCTACTTAATCCTAAAGAAACNTAATGGAAAAACAAAACGAAGAAACACTAACCCCGCATTTAAATATTCTAGCGTGTCGGCTATGACCTTTGCCGTTCGCCGACCCAAAAAAAAAATAAATAAATAAATTAGCAAGATTTGATTAAGTGTCATGAACCTTTGAACCAATAAATCAGTAATCAATAAGTGCCAGAGAGAGTGTGTGAGTGAGAGAGAGAGAGAGAGAGAGAGAGAGAGAGAGAGAGAGAGAGAGAGAGAGAGAGCGAGAGAGAGCGAGAGAAATTTTATTTATGCAACATCACTTTCCAGGACAATTCGTACATCTAAAGAGAAGTACAATCGGAGAGTTCAATCACTCTACTTAATCCTAACAAAACAATTTCTTTTTCATGCATCATTAATAAATAAAAACCATGTATATAAGATTAACTTGACAAAAAACAAATTTAAAAAAAAATTAATTTCTCCTTAATTAGAAAATTACAAAAAATACTTTACAAGAGCAGTTGAGCGAGACCAGATATCAAACCCTTCTAACGAAAAAAAGTTGCTATACGAGGTATCATTTTACATGTTAATAATTATTGTGATTTACATACAAGAACGAAATTAGTAGATAATTAAAGGAATATATTTTTAAACTTAAACTATATATGTTTACATTCATGTGAAGAGACATTTTTGTACTTTTAATATTTTATTTCCTGAATTTAATGTACATCTTTTAAACTTTTCTTAGAACAACTTTTAAACTTCTCAACTTTTAAAAGAATCTATAATGAGAGAGAGAGAGAGAGAGAGAGAGAGAGAGAGAGAAAGTGAGAGAATGAGAGAAGAGATGATGATGATGAACGCTTTATTTATCAATCACACAAGATTTGGTCTCAAGGACAATTCTTACTTCTAATGTGAAGTACAATGGTTACTAAGTTTAACCTACTTCTCATTTATTAAACATTAATTACTTAGATAATCGATGAAATTAATTCGGTTTTACAAAGCTTCAAGATTAGTAGATTAATTAATTAGATGGAATAACCTTATTTTTGTGGTCAATACGTTCCATCTATAGATTTTGCATTGAACTTTTACTTAAAATTGTTTATTGAAATAAATATTCTGATTTACATAATAATTGAGCAATTAAAAAGCAAATTACTAATAAAATAAACTAAGTGAAAAAAAAAACTTTTCAATACAATGCAGTACAAATAATGAATTATACATTACCAATATAAATCTACAAATAAAACTTTAAGAGAGAGAAAGAGACAAGAAAGAGAGAAAGAGAGAGAGAGAGTGAGTGAGAGAAAGAGAGAGAAGAGATGATGATGATGATGATGAACGTTTTATTTATAAATCACACAAGATTTAGTCTCAAGGACAATTCTTACATCTAATGTGAAATACAATGGTTATTAAGTTTAACCTACTTCTCATTTATTAAACATTAATTACTTAGAGGGAGAGAGAGAGAGCGATATGGGCAAAGACTGTCACATTATGATAATGATTTCCACGTTTATATGCTAACGTCCTAACTTTGAAAGTGAATGGGAAAACAAAATCCGGACAGAGATATCGAGAGAGAAAAAGACCTAGACAGACATACAGAGAGACAGTCAGGATGACAGAAACAGGGAAATTGTGTATACAGTAAATTTATGAATTCATTTTTTAGTGTATTTTGTTATTTATTTTATTTTAATTTTGTTCTTGGCTCGTTAAGTTGGCATAAAACTTTGTAAAACCGAATTAATTCCATCGATTGTTGTTGATCGAAACGTATGTGAAATTTTGAAAATTATTATGACTTACTCGATCATTTATTCCACCCCAATGTGAGACAGATGAAGTATAAGAATAAACTTTGAAACATTTTGTATTTGAGAGCTTAATCTCTCAAAGCAGAATCTGTTACTATTGTAGTTTGCTTCCTGAGCTGATAATGCCGACATCAACGCCCTCTCGACAACTAAACTGAAGGACGGAAACGTCCTCCTAATAGGGTAATCATCATACATCTTTTCTATTATTACAAATTCTCGATCATAACTATTTTTAATCATATAGTCTTTAGATAACCTTGAAGTTTGACTACTTGCTCACGTTGAGTAAAATCTAAGCGAAAATGAATCTTTGAAATCTATTAATTTATTTCAATACTTAAACGTTTTAAAAACACTTTCTTCATAAAAGAGAAAACAAAGGGAAAACTGTTTTTTTTCTTCTTTTTATTTGAATACGTGAGCACATGAAAGATTATTCAGTTATCTTCGTCACAGCAAAAAACTTACTGAGTCATAACTAATCATAAGAAAATCTGACCATAAATATTTTTACTTTTTAACATTAATAAAAAGGAAAAAGAGGGAGAGAGAGTGAGAGAGAGAGAGAGAGAAGAGAGTGGCAGAGAGAAGAGAGAGAAAGAGAGAAAAGATGATGATGATGATTATTATTATTATTATTATGATGACGACGACGATGACGACGACGACGACGACGACGACGATGATGATGATGATGTGATGATGATGATGATGATGATGATGATGAACGTTTTATTTATCAATCACACAAGGATGCAAAATTTCTTTTTTGGCTAATCAGTGAGTCCCACAACACGGAAATCTTTAATAAATAGGTAAAGATGCGGTGAGGCACTGGTCGATCGGAGCAATAAAATTAAAATTAATAAAATTTCTATTTAAACAAAAAGTAAAAAAGAAAAGAATTTATTCTTTGGAGAGGACGCGTCGCGGGATAAAAGAGGCGGCCAAAAGGCTATCTTCACCTCGATCTGAGTAGATCCAGCTTCCTTTACTTTTATATATCTCCATCCAGCTTTGGGTTGTTAATAAACCTCCATAGCCTTACCAGCGACTCTTGAGTGTAGGATCTTCCTTGCGGTTTTTTCTGTCCTAGTTGCAACAACCTGGCCTTACATAGACTTGCACAGAAACATAAAATGTGTTCTGGTTTTCCTCCTTTTCCGGATATCATTGGCACAGTGTTTCTTTTGTCTGTATTCCTATCCAGTGCATGTTCTTCCTTAAGTGGCAATGTCCTGTCAGGAGTAGGTCCTACGGCATTCTTCTTTTAGACCTCTCCAAACACTTGGATTCAAGGTGGTATCCAGACGCAACATAATGGTGTAACCTTGAGAGGGTGGCACCCTCTCTAAAGCACAAGCTGGATTCGTGTCCACCTCCAGATCGACAGGGTGTACACGAAGCACGCGTGGGTTAGGCTACCAGATACTGTCTACATAGATGGGGGAGGGCGCATAACCGTCTGAATTACGGGGTAGCAGTAAATGTTCCAAGTCCAAACCCTGCTATATGGGAAAGGACTCGTAGAGGCTTAGTGGTGCGGCTCCTGGCGAGAACGTAGTGTGAAACTGTTAGCGCTTTCCTTCCGAGGACAGTGATCCTCTAGGGGGTGGTTAGACATTCCACTATAAACAAAACCGCGGGCGGAGCGAATCCGGTAATTCTTACGGTGGACGAGCCCAAATACTTTGGGAGATAGAATTGTCTTCTCTGTCTAGGAAGGTCGGCGAACCGACCCAGGATGAAGCATTTCAGCCACTTTGGTTAACAAGCGGCACACAGTCTGGTGTTTAATACAGCCCAATCCACTCGGAATGGATATGCGGAGAGTGATGTCTGTATTGGACCCACGGCTTCTACACTAACGCTCGCGGCTAACACACACACAGTCGTGAAAGAGGTGCGTCATCTCTCATCTTGAGTATCAAAACGTTCGGTAGGGCCGAAAGCCTAGGTACGGACTTTAAAGATCCTCATATAATTTTAAGGGCTAACGAGTACATGTGGGAACCTAATGCCTTGTCAGGAACGAGAAACCTAGTTCGGTTGCGGTTGCCTTCCAATATCCTTTGTAAGTTTTTCGGATGGCTCTTCTCTAAATCTCTTCGCGTGCCTCATACCTGTGGTATTGTTCCACCAGGTATGGACTCATTAAAAATCCATTTTGAGATGTATCCTCTTTTGTGGCAGGATGCTAAACCACAGTAGGGTTCAGGACCTAGTGAGACTATTTTGGCCACCTCTTTTCGTTTCCTCTATGCCCTGAGTGCCGTGGACCCCTGCCAGGGGTCATTAGTCTCACTGACTTCCGTCAGGGCAACCATGCAGTTCCAAATATCTTTGCCTTCACCTCGCATGAGGCCTAGGCCCTGTAGTGCTGTCTGGCTGTCTGAGAAAATGGCTATCTTCCGGGAATTTATTCCTAGCCTTTTTATTTCTCTGGCGCAGTTTTCAATCACTATGATTTCAGACTGGAAAACTATATCATATTTACCTAGGTTTACCGTCGGTTTAGCCTTGGATTCATCCCGAAGACTCCAGCTCTCGTGCCCCTGTCTTTTGGAGTTGTCAGTGTACCGGTAGGCGTTTGCCATTAGCGGTGGTCCTTAGGCCCATTCTTCCATTCTCGTATCAGTACCTTGTATTTTTTGGTAAAATTGTATTTTGGAGAAGTGCCATCAATGTGGCCAGCTGAAATAAACCCTAAACTGTGGTCAAAGGAAAAGACAAAATGTTAACTGAACCTTTCCTACCTGGAGGGCTTCGACCAAACCCGGCGTGATGCAAGGTATAGGCGGACGATGTATGGCGGCACTTGCAAGCAACCTGCGAGAAAAAAAGGAAGAATAGTACGAAAAGGAGACAGGATAAAACAAAGCGCGCTAGGGGTAAACAAAACTAAATAAATGAAACTTGCGGAGAGGAATATAGGTAAATGTGAGTGAAGCTATAGAGTTGGTGCGAGATTTAAGAAAGAAAGTCGTTTGGAAGCTAGATGGGAAACAGCGAAAATTCGGAAGCAAGTCCCGAGCTACAATGCCGTCGGAAAAGAAAGAACGAGAAAAGGTCGGAGAAGGCAAGAAAGAAAGGCGAAAGGTTAATAGGATTGTAAACAAAATTCGCACACATGTGCACGAACAAAATTTATTCTGAATATTTGGGCACGGATTATCCTTAATCCCTACTGGTCGGCACCACTCGGCCCTTTCCCAAAAATCTAACCTGTCGCCTCGAAGCTATAAACCAGCACTTGGCAAACCTCTATTATTCTTGTAATCCGGCGAATCCTCTATTCCAAAATTTTGCTTATTGGTGTGTTCAACTTTCATTTTCCACAGTACTTCGCTATCGTAGCTGTTTGGAAGTACGAGTGGAACATAGAAAGCTTTCCTAAGAAGCCGCGACCCAAGAGGGAATGACCGGTAGGACCAGTCCAGTCTATATTCTTCTCCAGTAAGAGATAAAAAAATTAATTTCCTTTCCTTTCGTCTTTTCTTAAAATAGGTTTTTGTTCTTATCATTGTGAAAAGTAATTTTCATTTCAACTTACATTTTCTCATTAAATAATTTCTTAATTATTTTTATTACGTGCGAACACGTTGTAAAGTGAGACTATGGGACTTTTCTTGACATGTCACAAGCGTTTGACCGTATAACATGAAGACTCCTGTACAAACCTCCCAAATATCCTGTACCTAATCCTTCGTTCCTACCTAATCGAATGAGTCTTTAAAGTCCGCCAAGGACCAGACTACCAGCGTACCTCAGGGCAGCGTACATGGACCGATCCTTTGCCTCTTCTACACCGCAGATGTCCCGACTTCACCAATCCACAATCCTTGTACCCTTTTCCGACGACACAGCTGTGCGTTGATCTGATCCGGATCCCTCAATTGCTTTGGAAAAGCTCCAAGCACATGTCGTCCAATTAGCCGAATGGCGTATAAAACTTGATGAAAGCAAAAGCAACCATGTCTAATTCGCTTTTAATAGCAAAATTCCTCGTACAATATACATCAGTAATATCCCATCGCCAAAACTGGCTGCATCCTTTAACTTGTGTTCAATCTACACTCAAGACACCTGGAACCAACACACGGCTAAAATGAATTTTGAAAGTTTTGAAATCCCACTGAAAAATATTGAAAGTAATATAAAGTAAAAAGAGGACCGAATTATACTCAACAAAAAACAATAAGCTCAGATTTACCCCAATGGGCTTTGCGTACACATGGGTTACTCTTAAAAATGAAGTTCGTGCTTGTTGCAACTAAGGAAGATTTCACAAAAAAGAATTATGTAATCCTGTGCTCTCAATCTTTTAAAATGCTTTTTGTTTTTATTATGTTCAGTTTTGCACAAATAATTATTTAGAGATCGTGAGGTGTGGTCTGGTGTGACGTAGGTTCAGAAAAACATTTTCTTTATCGTGCTACGTTTCGATCTTTATTGAAATCATCTTCAGGGCCTGGGGTGTATAAACATTGTTCTTATTATAAAGATACATGTAGAATATGAAAAAATACATTTACACAATTTTTTTATATTTATCTAAATTTATCTTACAAGTTCTTCTAACCCAACGTCACACCAGACCGCATCTCACGATATCCAAATAATCATAATTAACTAACGGTCACTAAACACCACACATTTGTACAAACAGTTTATGTTCGCATACTTTGTATTATTTTTTAATAAAAATTTCATTTTTAAATCCGTTTGTAATGGAAAAATGAAACGTTTTTACATTGCTGGTAACTGACCCTTGAAAACTTACGTACATGTGATTAATTTTCATTGGTAAAGACAATTTTTCTGTATGCCCAATATCTGTCAGTATTTACAGAGACAAGAAAATCATACTCAAACTTTAAGCAAGAACATTAAAAAATTTATAAAAGTTAACTGATTATGCACATTTTTTGTTTCGATTGCAATAAAAAAAATCTTGTACGATTAATAAAGTAATGAATGCAATAAAGTACATAGTAGGATTAATATTTTATGAGATATGTACATTGGAATTGTTTAGTGCACTTCCATGCATTTGACATGTGGCATGATTTTCTGAACTATTGACGTCTTTTCACGGGATGCCCTGAATATAGATATAAATGATTATCTGTCTAAATAAACATAAACAATTGGGAGATATTTACGTGTTAAATGTATTGTATAAAGTGGTATGTAATAGTATGACAAGGGAGAAAAGTGAAAATTTATTTTTATGCATACATGAATAGGATCATGCATATTTATTTGAGTGAGAATACCTTTTGGAATTTACTTTTATGTTAAAATGATGGGTTAATAGAGCGTTTAAAGGTGGATTTTTTAAAGAAAATGTCCGTAGATAATTTTAATGATGTGGTAATGAATCAGCATATTTCATTGTCGTTTTTGTCATCTCGGCTGGCTGAGGAAAGGGGATGGACCGAAGGCGGCACGGCGCTGGTGGGGGCATATGGCGGGCAGTACATAAAGTTGGACATGGCCCGTGAGCCGCCGCCAGTTATGTGTTTATAGTGGTCGGAACAACATGTCTCCCATCAGCGTTGTCGTACTTGGGTTGGTTTTATGCTGCGGCTTCTCTGCGGCTGAACCGCCGAAAGAACCGGCGATTGTGATCCTGGATTCAGTCGGGCAGATATGGGAGACCCTAGGCCAGGCGAAAATCACAGAGGTCGCACAGACCGGGATCAACGGGGAGACAGGTAATCAAACGATTGGTTAAAAAATAAATCTAATTAATCGAGTATCTTTTGCATTATGGATAAGTTCTCATTATCTGTCGAGGCTTTAATAAAAGTATATAATATTACAGTTCTGAAGAATTACAGTAAATTTTAAAACATACCATACAGCATTGGTTATACCTCTCCTGGTGTTGGTTCAACTAAAGAGAAAACACGGTTAACACATAAGAAGAGCTAACAATACATTAAAAGAAATCATGATTGAAATCTAGAGCAAACAGAGTTTATACTAAGAAGAACTAAAAATACTTAAAAAACAGAAATTTTTTTGGCTGAACTCTAGAGGAAACACGAAGTATACATAAAAAGAGCTAAAAAGACAAGAAAAATCAGTACTTTTTAAATGTGACAAATATTAAAGCAATACCTTAAATAAAAAAACAATCACAAGGAAATATAATTTCTTGTTAAAAATCTAGCAGAAAAATAACAATAAAATTGAAATTGGTGATTCTTAATTCAAGAATCGTAATTTGCCAGGGATGATGATGGCTTCAAATTAAGCAGCTGGAAAAATTCGTAACTGTAAAACCATGCTTGTTTTACGTACCGGCCCAGGCTATGCTTTCTTTAGTTTGGACAGAAATTAAAATGTAAGAAAAAATATTTGACGCGAAATTCAGATCGTATCGAGCCATCCGTTATGAAGTGACCTTGTTCACTTAAGCATGAAAAATAATTATTTCATCATTCACATCTTTTAATGATGTTTGTTCTATCGTTATTAAATTATTTTATAATATGATATTGCATGTTAACTTCTTTGATGTGAGGATCCACATAGGATAGTTTGCTCGTATCTTTGTCAGATCTTCATTAGTGGGTTTTCGTTGGTCAAGACGAACCAACTCTTTAAAATACAAAGTAGTGCAAAACGTTCATGCGAAGCTTTGAGATCTTACAATAATTGACGTATCGATGACAAAAATACACTAGACGCAGGGTAAAATCTCATTAAAAATATGTTTTTCCCACGTTTTAATAATGAAACGAATAAGTTTGTAAAAACATGACGTAAACAATCTAATTTTTTCCGAGTAAACTTGACATCCTTCCCTTTTTTTAAATAAATTTTTTAGCTCCTCATTAAATATTTTACTATGAAGTTATTTATTCAGCTAATTGTGTGACTATATTTTGTTTATTCAAACTGTGATCACAAAAATTTAAAAAGACAAAGATCCATTCTGTATGATAATTATTACTGTACGGGCATGAAATGGCAGTCTTTAAAAGTCATGGCACATGAAACAAAGTGTTCTCTACACACACTTCCGATCCAATTGCCACAAACATTAAAGTAATAAAGCATTCTTTATAGACCAACCTCAATTCTCTAAGTGTTCTAGCAAAATGCTGATTTCCGCATAATCTTCTACGCGATGCCTCTCCAGTAGTAGAGAACGGTACGGGACGTCTAGTGACGAGTCTATTCTCACAAAACTTCTGATGATTGTTTTTAAAGCTCACCCTTACAATAAGGACAATTGGGTGTTGTCTAACTATAAATGAAGCCGTCAAACGACGGTTCCGTAGTGCGCTAAGATCAATAAAACTATCGTCCCTAGCCGTCGTAACACGATTTCTTCTCTTGGATCGAAACATTCCGTGGTCCTAAACCTCGGTAGACCATCGTGGATTAATCTTTATACCTAGTTATTATGGAAAATAAACAAACATGTGACCGGTTTTTGTCTTTGAGTTTTATGTTTAGTGGTCTGATTGACCACATTATTTATATCAATTAATTATTCTTTTTACATAAGGTCTTGGTTGAGATGAAAAAGCTAGAGTCACGAGCGGGATTCGAATCCCATTGAAAAATGGCAAAAAGAGGGAAAATTCGAAAGGTTGTTCTCGGGGGAGTTGAGTTGGGGAGTTGATATCCGAGTGGATCGAATCGATAGTTGAAGGTTAGAGCAGCGGCATATTGAGGCGAAGGTCCTGGGTTCGAATCTCGCTCGAGACAATAGCTTTTTCATCTCAACCAAGACCTTACATATAAATAATAATTAATTGGAGTATACATATGAGGAACTTCCACTGAAAAAGACCCAATGTTGTAACCCGTTTGAATAATTTAAGATGGGCCCAAAAAGTGACTGATGGTTTGGCACCTCTTCCGTGACACACGAAGGGTAATCGGACAAATGCCTTCCACACCTCACCCTGTTTTCACTTCTTGTTATCAAGTTTCGATATTTATTATCAGTACCTATATTTAGATGCAGCAATATCTCTCTAAACAGATGACGTATTATAAAATGTTCTTCTTGTATTTTTTTGATGTCAATGGTTTGCCACTGAGGTTATTTTACAAAAAACCGATACTGTTCTCTATAAACTGGTTTTATCTCGGACTCAATTAAGCCGGGAAAGCTCGCGTTTCCCAATTTCTAAGCACAGTGATATACGATGGAAAATCATTTTAACATTTTGCAAAACATAGTCTTTTATACATAGTTTCTGTCCCATCACCAGTTGAGAGGAGTTAAATGAATTTTATTTACATATGTGCCGAAAATAAAAAGGCTCAATCTATTTCTTATCATAGTGGAGTGATACAATATATTGTTAACTCTACAACCAAGTTTTTATTTAAGTTTTTACAAACCGCTATAACAACTGGCAATATATGCCGCGGGGGCGTCGGTGGCCGCAACGGTTTAGGCGTCGACACGGCGCTCATCACTGTAAGGTAAAGGTCCCGGGTTCGAATCCAGCCGCCCTGCATTCGAACCCTTCATATTTACAAAAGGGCTTTTTTATTCAAAAACACCGCCACCTTGATAGTTTATATGACCTCTGCTGTTGCGAAAAGAAACCAGGAAAATACGGTAGGCGAAACTAGCACATCGCAAGTAGCAATTGTCGCCAATTCGCTCACTACATTATATCATCACAGTTGTCAGGGAAAAAATCACTTGGAATCAGGTTGTTTCTTTTGACAGTTTAATCGGTGGAGTTAGTAACGTAGCTTAGTTCAGAATAAAACAACCGTATCGTCCTAAAAAGAACTGTTCAAACTCAATAATCCGTAACCGAACAATGTTTCTTTTGTGTAAATTCGATCTATAGAAATGACCAATACAGGGTCATTTTAGCTTTCCCAACGGCTATAATAGTCTCTTTTGATCCTTTTAAAAAATAGATCTTTATGTAGTGCAATGAGAGAAAATAATAAACAAACAGTCCAGTTGTCGTTATTGTGACATCAATGCTGATAACCCCATTGTGAGACCTTATTGGTCGGAAAGTTCTCTTTGAATGGACATTGTCCTTGATCATTCACCACAGACAATTTTGTATCTTGGTCGGAGAAGGTTTTATGAAATTTTTATTGAAAACTTCAACAAGCATACAATACAAACAACAACAAAATATTAGGTTATAGGAGTTTTCTTGAAATAATATCATAATCAAAATCAAACAAACGGTATTTTCTATATTTAAAAAATCATTATTTAGAGATGTGAGATGTCGATCTGGTGTGATGTCTCAACACGACACAGAACAGTGACACATCTACACAAAAAAAACACTTTGGGTGAGAGCATACTTAGATTAAACATAAAAAGTTCTATATTGTGTACAACATTCTGTAAATTCGTATTAATATCTTATATGTATTTGTATAATTTAAAGAATGTTTATAAATACCAGGCCCTGAAGATGATCTGGATAAAGGTCGAAACGTAACACGATAAAAAAAAAGGTTTTTCTAAACCGACATCAATAAATCATTACATCACGGTCACTCTATATTACACATTTTATAAAATCTTATACTTACTAAAACAAAACTATTGAGTATAAACAATTAACCTCATATATGTTTACATGTGAATTGTTAATAGTAGATCCAAAGTCCTGATTTAGCGGATATGTTCCTCGAAAGTTTGGCGAATGATCTGTGCGTTTTTCTTATCTTTAAAATTGGCTTTTTCACTGACCATTCATTACAAAATTATAATATTAAATCGATGTAATAATTAATTTAACAAGATTATGCAGTAGATTCACATACAAATTATAAATAAGTTTTTCAAAATATCTAAGCTTTTCTATTTAATTAAAAATATTATATTTTTGCCCCAAGATATTATACAGTGAATTGGATTTTATTAAAGAAAGAGAAAACATTAGAAAATAAACGCTAAGTATAGAAGCAAAGTGATAAAGCCCGGCTAACAAAAAAGTTTGATTCCGGCCAGGATCGAACTGGCGACCTTCTGCGTGTAAAGCAGATGTGATAACCACTACACCACGGAACCGGTATATTTATGTCTGAATGTATACCTTTCTCTTCCTTTCTTGTAGTCTACATTCTGTTTTGGATATTTATTTCTTACGGTGCTATATCTGTCTTTCTAGATCGTTCTCTCTCTCCCTCTCACTCTCTCTCATTCGCTCTCTCTTTCTCTCTCTATCACTCTCTCACTATCTTCTCTCTCACTCTCTCCTCTGCCCTTCCTATCCTTTTCATTCAATCATTCACACATGTAATCCGTTTTTATATAACTACTTTATACAATAAACTCCAGTTTTTCCTCCTTTCTCATTCTCTCTCTCTCTCTCTCTCTCTCTCTCTCTCTCTCTCTCTCTCTCTCTCTCTCTCTGTCTCTCTTTCTTTCTTTCTTTCTATTTCACCCAATATTCCTACTCGTTCTCTGGCATTTTGTTTTATATATCTATTCATCTTTCATTTTGAATATTATCTATCAGACTTTCTCTTTACCTAACTGCCAAATTAATCTATCTATGGTTCTATACAGGGTGTTTCATGGTTAAATTTCGATACTGCCATGGTGGATTCACTAAAAAAAACGCAGTTCATTGCCAACCAAAGTTTTTGTCTTGACTCTTTCCTGAGATATTAATGTTTTTGTGATTTTAGTTTAAAATCGGATTTTTTTAACACAAAATCGTAATTTTTCAACTTTAGCATAATTAAAATG